CCATAAGGAGGACGTTAATCAATAAAATAATCAAGTCTACAAAATACTAATATTAAGAGAACAGTGCACCAAAAACAAATGATGTTTTACATCTTACAATGTTACTTATAACCAGCCTTAAACAAATAGTCATGAAGATTTATTCACTGCATATGGTCATACCATTCTTAAGCCAACTACAGCTTTAAAGTACCCCCATGCTGGAGGGTCTTACACTCTTTTTAACATAGGAGGTGAACACGTTCATTTGTTCATTGCAAAACTTACTGCTTAAACATATCACCGTAAAATGTATGCTAAGCATGTCAAACTTGCGGACCGCATGCCGCATGCGGCCCACAATGGACATTTTTGCGACCCGGCAAGCCTCAATGCATGCTTAGTGTTAAAGCAGAGTAGGCACCTGCTTTCTCCACATTGCAGGTGCCTACTCTGCTGGGGAGGAGAGGTTCCTGGCAGCAGCGAGGGAGCTCAGCTTTCCTGCTCCTCACTGCTCCCTCACTCGCGCCGTCTGTAGTGTTGCCGGGTGCTAGAATATGATGTCATATTTCGGAACCCAGCATCACTAAACTGCGCGCGAGGGAGCAGTGAAGAGCAGGAAGGAGATCTCCAGATAGAAGAGGTCCCACACCTGTTCCCAAAGGTAGAGTGCAATAAATAAAATGATGTGAGTGCAAGAATGTGTAAATGGGTGTGTGTGTGTCTGTTAGTGTGTGTGTCTGTCAGTGAGTGTGTTTGTCTGTTAGTGAATGTGTGTATGTCTGTATGTGTGTGTCTGTCAGTGAGTGAGTTTGTGTCTGTCAGTGAGTATGTGTGTGTCAGTGAGTGTCTGTGTGTCTGTCAGTGTGTGTGTGTTGGTCAGTGTTTCATTGGCTGCGACTGGACAGTGGAGTACTTGGAGGTGCATGGAGGCACGCAACGCCACGTCACATTCCGACATGACATCGACGTGCTCCACCTTCACAGGGTTTCAAGAAGTAGCGGGAGGAACAGATTTGGCACAGGGTGTGGACGGCCTTTTTAGGGTGTACCAGACGACAGACTGCGGAGTCGCATACTGGCAGCAGCAATGTGTCTGCTTGTTGGCTAGAGGGGGATGTTGGGATTTAGTAGAGGGGGGGACTGTGATTTAGTATAGAGGAAGGACTGGGATTTAGTGTATGGGGGGACTGAGATTTAGTAGAGGGGGATGCTGAGATTTTTTTTTATACTTTTCAAAACTTACAACTCACAGTTTAATCAATGAACAGTATAATAAATACAATTTTGTTACAATAGATGCTCCAGTGCACACTTTAAAGACTTGCTGATAGAATGTTCTAATCTGATTTGTTATTTCAAGGTCTTGTATGCAGAAGAACACTTAAAGTAAAACAAGCAAAATAAATAGTGTCACAGTTCTTACAAATAAACGATAACCTATTAACCGTGCAGTAATTGGGATCCATCAAATAGTAAATGTAAACAAAGTGTCAGGGGTGATAGCGATGTACTGTGCAATTTTTTTCACTCTGTTTAAATATGTAAAATAGAACAGATTTTCACTTTCCTTCAAATAAATGCAACAATTCATCTTTATGATTACAAAACAGAACTGGGCAACATTCAAAGGCTTGGTTAGCGTTAAAATGTGATTTTGTTTACTTTAGTGATTATATTCTATTTTGAAATGCAATCATTTTTTTTTTCAATGTATCATTTTTTTAAATTCTTTATTAATTCACAATCATTAGAGTTATACCCAACAGTTGAAGCAAGAGAAAGCTGGCTTAGCCAGGCGCAATAATACAAATGTAGTGATGCTAGGTACGATATTCTAGACGAGGGATAGGCAACCTTCGGCACTCCAGATGTTGTGGACTACATCCCCCATAATACATCTGGAGTGCCGAAGGTTGCCTATGCCTGTTGTAGACTGTGAGGTTTTTATGGTATGAAAAGTAAGATATAACAGTAAACTGGCTAGAATGCATCCAAGCCCGAGGTGTGGTTAATGCGTTAACTTAACAAAGAGGCATGTGAGGGCTAAGAGCAATAGATATCTCTGATATCTGAAAATATATATGGTATCTTGGCATAAAAGTTACAGAGGCTAGTTACCACACATATGTTAAGATATAATTAAACTTGGGAGCCAAGTGTGGGTTCCATATGTGGGGGTGTGTCGGGAGTTCCTTCACTTTTTTTTGAGCAGGAACACCATTCCTGCAGGCACTCAGCGCCCCCAAATGCCCCCTTCCTCCCCCCCGTGTTCCCCCTGTCATGGGGGGGCCCAAGAGATATGGACCCCCCTGTCCCACCCCATCGGGTGCCTGTGTCCATATCAGACGTGGCGAGGGAGCTGTGTGCTCTCTGCTCCCTCGTGCCGCAGGCCATTTGATGATGCCAGGAGCCGGAATATGACGTCATATTCCGGCTCCCAGCTACTGTAGACAGCACAGGCTGTTCACTCTCCACTGGACCACTCTCCACTGGACCACCAGGGATGGCACATGGCAGGCTAGAGTTCACTCTCCACTGGACCACCAGGGAAGGCACATGGCAGCAAGGATCCCCTCTCCCTACATAAGGTAAGAAGGGAGGGGGAATATTTACTAATCTTCCCCCACTTCCACAATCCCTCCAAACATACAGCACACACACACATACAGCACCCACACACACACACAGCACCTACACACATACAACACCCTCACACAAACAGCACACACACAGCACCCTAACACACACAGCACACAAACAGCACACACATACAGTACACATACAGCACCCTCACACACACACAGCACGCTCACACACACAGTACACTAGCCACACCCTCACAAACACACACAGCACCTTTACAACCACACAACACCCTCACACACACACACACAAACAGCACCCTCACAAATACACGACACGCACACACAACACACAAACAGCACCCTCACACCCAGCACCTTTACACACACACACACAAACAGCACCCTCACACACACAGCACCCTCACACAGCACACTAACAGGACCCTAACAAACACACACAAATACCCTCACACACAGCACACTACCAGCATCCTCACACACAAACAGCACTCACACAAACACCCTCACCCACATAGCACACTACCAGCACCCTCACACACACATCACACTAACAGCACCCTCACACACACATCACACACTAACAGCACCCTTACACACACAGCACCCTCACACCACCCTCACACAGTGTATGTATGTGTGTGTGTGTGTGTATATTATATATATATATATATATATATATATACATACATACATATACATGCAGCGTGTGTTTGTGCTTTAGGGTGCACACCCTAATGCAATAGGTTGCGCACGCCTATGTATGTGTGATTGTCTGCCTGTGTGTGTGTGTGTGTCTGTGTGTGTGTATGACTGTCTGCCTTTGTGTGTGTGACTGTCTGTGTGTGTGTGGGTGTGCATGACTGTCTGCCTGTGTGTGTGTGTGTGTGTGGCTGTCTGTCTCTGTGTGTGTGACTGCCTGCCTCAGTGTGTGTGGATGTCTTCCTGTGTGTGTGACTGCCTGCCTCAGTGTATGCGGCTGTCTGTCGTGTGTGTGTGGCTGTCTGCCTGTGTGTATGTGTGTGGCTGTCTGTGTGTGTGTGTGGCTGTCTGTGGCTGTCTGCATGTGTGTGTGTGTGATTGTCTGCATGTAAGTATGTGTGTGTAAAACTGTATGTGTGGCTGTGTGTGTGGGGACTATCTGCCTGCGACTGTGTGCATGTGGTGGATTTGACAGTGTATATGAATAACTGTATGCATCTGACTGTGGGAGCTAGGGAGGGACTCATTTGATTTCCTCGCGGAACTGGCCAATGTCGGCCGCAATATTGAGGCGTAGTTCGTCTAGGAGGCTCCGCAGAGTGTCTTCAGTCACCAGGGGTTTGTTGACTGGTTTTGGAGTTCAGTGAGAGGTTCTACCCTTCGGTCTCACCCCCTGCTCTGCTTCCCTTAGTAGGGATTCCTCGCTGGTCGTGAGGGAGAGTCCGTCCGACAGAGGCACCATGACATGTCTCTGTAAGGATTGCAGCCTCAATAGCAAATTGCCTATGTCGGCCATCATCTGTGGGTGATCAGGATTACATTTCTTGCTTCAGCGTCCCATGTCCACAGGTGGGTATCTGCAGCAATTGGTGCCAATTAAACTTGAATTTCCTTGCGTTTTTAGTTATATTTGTGAAATCTCACTCGGAGCTCTGGCAATGTGCGACCAGGCATTTTGGTTGCTAGCTCTGCCCCCTCAATGTATCATTTCTATTAATGATTTTTTTTAAATTACAATATCAGTATATACAATTCTGCAGTTCAGGAAACAAAACAAAAAAAAAAAACAACCAAACATGAAATACCATGCTTAAATATCAACATAGTAGTAATAATAATAATAATAATAATAATACTAATTTACATTTAGAAACATCATTCATAGTGAATGCACAATTAACAATAATATTTAATGCATTTAATTAAATTACCTCAATCATTTTTCACTAATTAATAATCAATAACCCACTAACATTTAATAAACAACTATCTTGTGAGTAGTTATTTCATCTTAGATCATCCAGATATATATCATGTTTAGAAGAAGAAAAAAAATGCAATAATAATAACAACACTATTATATATATTTTTTTTATTAAAAAAGCTACAGCTGTCAAAATTATTTTCAATGTCAAAAGTCAACTGTCTACAGCCCTGTTAACTTGAAATGTGTGTCTTTGATGCACACTTTTTTCCTTTCATTTTTTTACTGGTACATATTCCTAGCTCTATTGTGATAATATTGCATCTCAGAAAAAGATGTCCTTCAATAGAGGATTTGCTGTTATGAAAAAATAGAGCAAAGCATATGTGGTAATAAAATCTAATCCACTGTAAAAAAAAAAAAAACATTTGTTTTGAATTTATATGCATCTTTACCATTACAGTTTTGTACTGTTTTACTCTAAGAGACATATACTGTATAAACATGGTCTGCTAAGGTGCATACAAAGCATTACATTAAGCAACAATCACCAATACAGGTACTTTAATATTAGAGCACAGCAACATGCATAGCTTTATTAGCCATTATTACACAAGCAACATGACAATGTTACATCTAAACAGTTTCTGGGCCATTGGGTCTACATTTAGTGAAAACTCTTAATCTGGGATTCAGACCTCTTCAACTAAGCAATGACCAGGATCCACCAACCTGTAACAGAGAGATGAACAACCAGTAAAGGAGCGGGAAACGGTGCAAAATCGGCATGGACAAAATCAGATCACTATCATTGCATACATTCCATATTTACATATTAACAAGGTAATTTAAAATTTTTGCCCAAAATATTTGAATATGACAAATTCTCCAATGTAGCTTTTTTTTTCTCCAATGAGATTATGGAAACTTAAAATGTGCAGCTCCCTTGACAATTCTCCATTATTCCCTGTTTAATTAATACATTCTACGCTATACAAACTTAGCAACACGCATAGGTAATATTATATTAAGTTTAGCATAGTTTAGCATGTGTCTTCTCTTTTCCAAAGTGGTGGCACCTACTGTTTTTTTTTTTAATTTTATAACATTAATATTCCTTGAACTCATTTGGGACTTGTGAGTATAAACCATCTTTAACATGTCATCCTTAAAAAATAAAATGTCTAACAAATTAAATTAAGCCACCCAAAATAAATGCACAGGGAGCTTTAATTTGTAATTTGTTGGCATCACATGCCAAGTTTTCATTTCCAGAACAGAGTGCTCTTTGCATGACAGACAATAGCCTCCCGGATTGTATTCTATGGGAAACTGATATGTTTAGAGATTTACAGTAGCTGATTTTTTTTTCCCATTTTGTATCCTTTTGTTTGGTAGTATTATATCTAAAATCTTCTTTTTTCCACTTAGCTTTGAATGTGAGTTGCTCAGAACAGATTTTGGTTCTTACCATATATAATTCACACTGATCACTAGATAGATGATAGAGCTATTTATTTTATCATATTCCACAGGTTCGGCTAGGGAGCTAGTGTATAAATGTATTATAAAAATGCTGAAAATAAATCACTGCAGTGCTAGTGCACTCATATAACACCTGTCTGTATAGCATTCTTCCCAACATTTAAAATGGACAACGAGAACACTTTCATTTTTGAGTGGGGTGTGGCCAGGGGTAGGGATGTTGAGAGAAAATTTTGTTGACTTACTAATAACAATCTATGCAATTAAAATATAGTTTAGAGCAAGAATACTGAATCTAATTTACGCAGAATGATTTCCAAACACATTTATTGTAGTTTAACCCCTTAAGGACACTTGACATGGGTGACATGTCATGATTCCCTTTTATTCCAGAAGTTTGGTCTTTAAGGGGTTAAATACACATTAGTGTGAATATTATTACTGTGGAGCTCTGTTATACATACAGACACACCAAGAATATAGAGCTCCTAGACAAGAGGGACATTAGGATAGAAAAGGGACACAGAGGAATTTGGGCCCAACATAGGGACTGTCCCTCATAAAAGGGATGTAAGGTATAGTAAGAAGTAAACTGAGGGAACCAGCAGGACATTTTTAATAAATGACTGCTGGAATAAAGCAAAATTTCTAAGCATATGTGAAATGTCATAAATACAACAAATATATATAGTTACATAGATGAAAAGAGACACGTGTCCATCAAGTTCAGCCTTTTTCACATTTGTTTTTGCTTTTGATCCAAAAGAAGGCAAAAAACCCAGTCTGAAACGCATCAAATTTTGCAACAAACTAGGAACAAATTCTTTCTTGACCCCAGAATGGCAGTCAGATGTCTCCTTGCATCAAGAAGCTATTACTCCACTAATTAAAAGGTATTTCCCTGTATACTATGTTTTTGCAAGTATGTATCCAATTGCTGTTTAAATATTTGTATAGATTATGATAAAACCACTTCTTCAGGCATAGAATTCCTCATCTTTATTGTTCTTATTGTAAAAACCCTTTCCTTTGCCTTAGACTAAATCTCCTTTCTTCCAGTCTAAATGTGAGATATTGTGTCCTAAATGCAATCCTGTTTATGAACAGATTTCAAGACAATTGTTTGTATTGGCTCTGGATACAATTGTGTAATGTTATTATATTTCTCTGAGGCGCAAGTTTACAAACCTTTCTTCATAATTAAAATGCTCCATTTCTTTCATCAATTTTGTAGCCCGCCTCTGTACTTTTTCTGTACAGGTCCCTCCTCCTTTCCTCCAGGTCCTCCCACCCTCTCTCCCAGATCGAAGGGCCTTAGGGCCAGTGAGGGAGAACTCGAGAAAACAGGCCGTCTCTCTATGGGCCAGCAGAGGTGATCCATGTTGGCCTGGACACGCTGGGCAGCACAATGGGGCCCCAATGCCTGTGAGGAAAAGACGGCCCTGCCTTAGAATAGGAAGATGAGGCTACAGTGGGCTAAAGATTGGAAACACTTTATGTGGTCTGAACAATCTTGATTTCTACTGCAAAAATGTAAAGGTCAGAATTTTGCAAAACGCAAATGAATCCATAAATTCTTCAAGTCTCATAATGTCAATGATTACACTGGTGATTACACTGGTGATATATTAGTGTTTATCTATTTTAAAATACATATTTCCACCAGAATTCAATACAATACATTTAGGATGAAGGGGCATAAGCATTTAACACCATGAACGAACGGGCAGTCAAAAGTCTGCAAAAAGTTAAATCCCTGCAAAATGTTTCCAGGAATTTGTTGAAGACAATCTGCAAATGAATATCGCTGTACTGAGTGCAAAAACAGGATCCGGGCTATTGCCAGTGTGTATTTGTATATATGTGTATATTTTGCTACTTGGTTAACAGACTGTTTTGCAACTTAAAATATTTTTTTTCCAAACACTTCAGTATCCAGTGGCTATAAGGTTCCCTCTGAGATGTTAAGGTTTTCCAGTCTCCCTCCACTGCTTCATGTACACCGTGCACGTGTCTTACTGATACTTGGCCTGGTGATTAAGTTAATAGTTTAGAGATGATCCATTTAAAAATAAGGTCAGGTATCAGGTATAGCAGAACAACAACAAGTACAGATACATTGTATTACATGCTACCTTACGTTTTAACCTGATTCCCAACAGCATATGTTCTCTTCAACGTGACTACAAGACACGTGTTCACTCTTTATATCTTAATGCTAAGAGCACAAATTAGAGAAACAGAGCTAAACACCCAACAGATTAACACACTTTTTCAGAAAGAAACATAACATAAGCAAAGTTAAACGACATTCTGGCAAAAGAAGAATTACACAGACAAATCGGTGATTAGCCATTGATTTTCAAGTAGGGTAAATTTAAGGAACCTATTTGACGGAGCTCCCTGTACCCATGGCTGGGTACCTCAGCCAAGGACCGCTTCCTAGCTGGAACAGGGGACAAACTGCAGCACTTCTGCCCATAGGGCAGGGGCTCTGGAACCGCTCCTTCCTGGAGCCGAATGGGGAATTTGCGCTAGACACCCAGGCACTGAACGACACTCAGTCCAGGGAGCTCTACTCCTTACAATGATTTTCCCTGTTGAATCCCCTGCAAGCTGGAACAGAAACAGAGGTTAAATCTTCCTTCCCTCCAATAACAGGACGACACACAGTTTTGGAGTGCAAGCTGGAATGCTTTAATGGCAGTCATAACTGGCCTTATATGCATGTCCCCATGCAAGGGGCACTCCCCCCTGGACCTTGTGAGGGACTGCAGCACAAAGTCACAGACCAATGACAAAGGTGTTTAAATACATGACACTCCCATATACAAGCATACAATCCTTCCCCTCTGCCTGGGAGATAATTGGATCAGTAACTGTACTAAGTCTAATCCAATTATCTCCAAGCACAGAAAAAGCATACTTTTTCAAAACACCCCAAATGTACCATAAAAATACACCCCCTGATAGCCCTGATCTGGGTGACCAACATATCCAAAAAAAACGCCCGCATGGTCCCCTGCCCAAAACAGTTCCAGAGAATCAGGGCTTGCGGTCGGTCTAGTTCAGTAGTTTGAAAACGAACAAACTACCGAATAGAGTCAATAGTCTTACCCTGGAGCTTGTTCCACTCATCCGGACGAATAATTTCACCGAACAGTGCCCTTCTAAGTTGTATAGAAACGAACGCAGGTGATGATGGAAGTCCAGAGATGTTTGGGAGTTTCTTTGTCCGATTTTAGTTCCATGAGATTCATGTCCAAACACTGCTGTCTGTGCTCATGCGAACAAGATGGCCGCCACCTCGTGGTTGTCCATAGGAATTGTGGCCACCCAGATGAACAATTAGAACAATGTGGTTAGAAACGTTCCAAGTTGTTAATAGGTGTTAACAAGCTCCAGGGTGGTCTCTGGTTCATGCAGTTGTTCGCTAACTGAACCATATAATCCCAATTGCACGAACAGAGTCTTTTAAACATTATATTGCACAGGGTCCATAGTCTGTGGGCAGGAGGCTGGCAAGCAAGCTCCTCCAGGAGCACTTGGCAAACTCATGTAAAAAAGGGAGTTTGTCACACCTATTAAGAAAAGAAAAATATCAAAAGGAGAAGAGAAGATAGGGAAAAGTAGGTAGAAATAAAGAAAAATGTGGAAGGAAAGAGGCAGTGTGCAAGTCTAAAAAGATAATAATGGGAGAGACTCCCTCAGGAAAAAAGATCATAATCAGCATAATTGTAACCGCAGCTGTTTCCCTTATTTATCACTATAATGTCTTAAAGCATAGAATTTAGCAGGGCTAACCATACAGATATCTTTAGCCATAATATTATATAGTTTGCAAGAGATCCTCTATTTAACATACAAATAAATAATTGAGAATACAATATAAAATAAGGATTATCTTTTAGATATTTTATTAAATACAAATATAAATATAGACATATAAAATCCATTACAATATTTTATAGCAGAGTCTATAAGATTAAACTATATGCTTGCAATATCATTTTAAATAGAAAAACATACCCTCTTGAACATGTCAACATATCTCTCAGTCATTATAATATGGAGCTACAGTGTCTCTATCTCCAAATCTCTCCTCTGTGTGTTAACATTTAATAGGTATGCATATTTATACCTTAGGTGTCTTCATTTTAGGGTTACTGTAGTTCATATATGAAAAAGTAACACTTCTTTGAGAAATACAATATATGCATTTGCCCATAACATAATTACCTCTCATATCATATGTTTATATTGTTTATGTTTATCTTTCTATATTTCTTCTTTGACATATATTAAACGAATGTCCTGACTTTTTGTTTGAATAATAGAGTAAAGGGGAAGGGCAGTACAGAGGTAGAAATAAATAGGAATGGTATAAGGAGAAACATATGTACATTTTTTTAATGTTTTTTTTTTTTTTATTGATTATACAAACTATATAGAGCAGGGGTGCCCAAAAGGTAGATCCCCAAGCTTCAGCTTCCATGATGCTTTGCCATTCTAAAGGCATTCCAAAGACATGCAAAGCATCATGGGAATTGTACTTCTGCGACATTTGAGGATCTACCTTTTGGGCACCCCTGATATAGAGAATCCAAACATGTCATACACAGCTGTGGTTACATATGTGGCTTAACAAGACTGGATATTGCATCTCAGTTATAAGTCACAGGGTAGATAATTTACAATACAAGCCTTTCTTAGACACACTTCTTCTAATCAGAAAATTAAAAATTAAAAAACAGGTGATACAACAATAACTAATTGTCTGTGACAAAAAGGTAACATGCAGCAAAAAAGGTAACATACATAAAATAGCACATCAACTGCACATTGGTACTATGTATATAGCCAGTTCAATGCTCAACCATTAAAACCATTTTGTATAATTTAATAGTTCTACCAGTATGGCCATTTTTACCCCGTCTTAAGCTCTCACTCCACGATCCTCCAATGAGAACACCCCAGGTGCTTGTCTTAGGAACTGTAACCATGCATCCCAAAGCTCAAGATAGGGTTTGTAACCTCTACTCAGGGAGAAATGAATCTCCTCCATTAATCTTAGATTCTCTACCTTATCAATCCATTCCCTAATAGAGGGAAACTTTTAAAAGTTTAAGTATATTGGAATTAGAATTTTGGCTGTGCTTCAAAGATGGGGCAGTATGAAACGTCTGTATTTCCTTGGAGAGTCAGGCGTGGCATGAAATAACATTGTTATGGGTGTAAAAGGGAGAGATGCCCTGATTATCACACGTAGGAGCTTATGGATCTTCGTCCAAAATTGTTGAATTCTAGGGCAAAGATCAACTTGCTATAAACTTAAAGTAAAGCATGTTTCACCTTTTCAGATCTTTTCTAGCATCTTATAAAGAGGAGGGAACTTAAGAATGTATATGTTTGCGTTAATGGGTGTTATTGCAATCCCAAGATTTTTAATGGATTTCTGTGCCCATGGAAAAGGAAGTGACAATTGAAGTTGGTCAATTTTTCCCTGTAAAATACAAATGTTCAGACTCTCACTTTTGACATGTGGCAGTATTACACCCAGATTTGAGAGATTACACACATTTCTCAAAAGTTCATCTCCCACACTCAAGGATAGATATGCTCTGGGGAAATTTAAAATTACTGGAAAAGGTGAATAAAATTGATATTAAAAACAATACCTGGTCAGATCATGATATCCTAATTTGGGATATCCAAAAACTGTTGCAAGTAAAAAAAATACATGGCATACAAATGACTATTTGTTATACAATATTTCAAATGTTAAATCAATTAAAGAAATAATTCAATGCTATTTTTTAGAAAACGACCCAAAAGAAATCTCATATATTGTGAACTGGTGTGCATTCAAATCAGTAATGAGAGGACATCTTATTATTATGTTATTATAATAATCTTATAAATTTGAATGGTCAAGATCGAAAGAAAAAAGGGGAAAGTCTATCAAAATTATATATCAGACTAAACCAAGTGGCAAGATCCAATAAATGGGATATACAAAGCAGACATCAAAAATAACTTATTGAGATACAAAGATGAATAAATCAGAAATTAATGGAAAAAAACAACATTAAACCTAGAAAAATTGAAAGTTAAATATTATAGTAAAGGGAAAGGGCAGCTAAATCACTTACTTTTCAATTAAAGAATAAAGGAAAACTTTAATGTGTCGTATTATAAAGATAGTTAAAAATAATGAGACATTTATTACACCGGAACAAATAGAGCAATGCTTTACCATTTACTATAGTTCCTTATAAAACCTCAAAGAAACACCAGATAAATATAAAATAGAAGGTTATATACGGAAATCAAACAAATAAAATAACAGATTTACAAAGAGAGGAAATAACGGTCCAATAACCAAATTGGAAATATTAAGAAAAATAGATAAGATGGAAAAACATAAAACACCAGGCCCAGATGGTTTCAGCAATATGTTCTACAAAGCATTTAAGGAACAGTTACTAGAACAGCTATCGGCAATATTTAATCACATTGTAATACAAGGGGCTTTTCCCCCAGAAATGCTGCAAGCCAACTTGCTACCAATTCTCAAACAAGGCAAAAACCCTACGATAGTAGAAAATTACTGTCCAATCACATTACTAAATGGTGATGTTAAAATATTTTTGGCAATATTAGCCCACAGACTAAAATCCATATTAAAGGATATAATTCATCCAGATCAAATTGGGTTTGTTCCACTAAGATGTTCCTCTTATAACACAAGAAGAATGATTAATATTATAGATTCAGCTACAAGGAAAACATATCCACACTGACCCTGTCGATAGATGCTGGGAAAGCTTTCGACAGGGTCAGTTGGGACTTTATGAGTCATACACTACATCACTATGGGATTCAGGGCTGGATGCATCATGCCATTATGGCATTATATGCATTTCCCTAAGCAAGAATAGTCAACCCTAACTTATGTTCTAGTTGGTTTACTCTTATTAATGCGACCAGACAGGGTTGTCCTCTATCTCTACTGCTCTATATTATGACCATTGAACCCTTTGCAAATAAAATAAGAAAAAATGTGGATATTAAAGGATTTGGTTGTAAGGGAAATGAATAAAAAAATCAATCTATATGCGGATGACATTTTAATAACAATTTTAGATCCAATCAATTCATTACAACATTTGATGAAAGAAATAAAGGAATACTCACAAGTAGAGCAAACTACAAGATCAATATAGACAAAAGCACAATTATGGATTTAAACATTGATAAAACATCAAAATAAATTATTAAAGCAAAAGGTGATTTCACCTGCATAAGTAAAGAAATGCCATATTTAGTTATCAAACTAGCAAGAGATATAAATAAAATAAGATAAATCAACTTTTTATCACTCTTACGCTATACTAATCACCTATTAAAAAAATTGGAGAAATATAGAAACATCGTGGATTGGAAGACTAAACATAGTAAATGCATATATTCTCCCTAAATGGCATTATATGTTTAAGATGATCCCTTTCAAATTCTCAGATTGGTGGCTTTTGGATCAGTAGCAAAAAACATATGTGAGGAAGGCTGAACTTGATGGACGCAAGTAGTTACTATGTAACTACTATGCTGGAGATGTAACAAATCTAATGGTTCAATTATCCACATATGGTGGAGTTGTTGGGAAATTATTAATATTTGGAAAAAAATTGTTTATTACATAAAAATAAATTACATAGTTACATAGTTACATAACTGAAAAGAGACTTGCGTCCATCAGGTTCAACCTTCCTCATATATGTTTTTGCTGTTGATTCAAAAGAAGGCAAAAAACCTTGTCAATATACAAATATCGAAATTAATTCTACTCCAGAAACTACCCTTCTACACTTGAATTGGCCAAACATGAATAATACAAACTACTACTTAATTTTTCATTGCTTCCTTGTGGTTAAAATTATAATAGCACATAATTGGAAGACTCCCTTAAGCCCTAGATGGAAGGAAGTTGTGAACCAATTACAGTTTCAAATAAGAATGGAAAGAAATATTAGTATTACAAAGGGATATGGATCTAAATCATATCAAAAGAAGACTGGCCATCTAAATTATCTCAGAAGATGATACTATACTGAACAAAATCCACAGTAATTTGTCTCGGCATTGGACAATGTTCATATTTTGTTTTTCTTTCTTCTGATTTTTTGTTTTCTATTTTTTATTGTTTTTGACATTCCAATATCCCAAAGAAATAACACTTTTAGGCTTCTTAACTATACTTGAATAATTAAGGCAACTAAGGAAAAATCAAAAGTTAATAGGCAGATAAGCAGTCAAAAATCAGATCAATTAATTAGCTCTGATGATAAAGGAATTTTTAACAGCCCAGGCAAACCTGGAGGGATAATATAAGATATGGCAGTTTTGGTGCCACAGAGTTATAGAAGAACCTGAAGATATATATAGCATAACATCATCTTCATAATATAAATGCCGACGACGGCTAAATATGAAGACGCATTATAGGTGAAGGCAAGGGTGGAAGATGGGTTAATAATTTAATATATTGTGACGGACTGCCTGGTGCCTCCGCCAATCCCTGCTTCTTAGTAGCCTGGAGTACTAGCACCGCCCCGAACACCATAAGCACCGTAGCCCCTTAGTCACCGTAGCCCCTTAGTCACCGTAGCTTGGCTGGGGTCTCGCTGTCCTCCACCCACCCTGGACCCAAGCCCAGGATCCAGCTTCCAGTGCGTGGACCTCTCCTACTCCAGAGAGTCTAGCAGGTATAGCTGTGTAGCTATTACAAGAGCTATTGATTATAGCCAGTATAGAAATCCAAAGCAGGTATAGCTGTGCCCTACCATCACGAGACAAGGCTGCATGTTGAGGGTGAAGTGAACTGATTTTAATGGGACCACACTTGGCCTTTTATGATATGCAAGGGGTACTCCCCCTTGGACCTGAGAGTAAACCAGAGTAGAAAAAAAAATACACAATCACATTGGCTCTCAGATCCAGGACACTCCCATACAAACTAGGTCAATCCCTCCTCTGTATCTGGGAGATAATTGAGTCAAGTACTGTATTAAATCAATCATCTCCAGACACAAAAACACAAATTTTTATAAAACCCCCAAAATACCTTTAAAACATACAAAACCCCCACAAAAGCTACATCCCCTGATAGCACTGATTTGGGTGACCAACATATCCAAAAATCGGTTCAGGGATTTCCTGGAAGTCATTTATTTGACCGACCGCACATATGGTCCCATGCCCAAAACAGT